TGACTCCAGACTGGCAGACCAGATGCAAAGATGAAGCTGAGCACAGGCTGTGATGGATGAGACCCTGGCAGTTGCTCTGGCCCCTGTGGCCTATGCATTGCTGTGTAGGGAGGGATTCTGGACACAGTGATGTTTGTGGTGTGGATGAGGCCCAGAGTATGCATGGCTAGAGCCCAAATCCCCTCACAGCATGGGATGTCTGGTAATCAGTGACAGATCAAGACCAGATATATTTTTTTTCAATGGCTGGGAAATGGAAACCTGCAGACACCTAGCTACCACATCTGAGAGAGGCAGAGGCAGCGGGAGGAAATTATGAAGAGACAAAGATTGCATTCGAGACAGACTGAGCTATTCAGAAGAGACCATTAACCTGTCAGAGGCCGAGATAGCACTGATTGGAAAGTTTATCATTTGTCATCCAGTCCCTTCTCCTGCCCTTCGGAAAGTGAAGCAAGGGGAATGCAGGATGGGAGGGACGTTTTGTCAACTGGGAAGAAAGAAATCTGCTGCATTTTCTTGCTGTATTTGAGAAGAACTGGGTAAATATGACCCTGGTATATTCATCCACAATCCTGTGGATGTATCTTAAATTTGTTTTAACTGCACAAACAATGCATTCATTGCTTCTCGTGGCAAAAATCCGATACCTGTGTCCCAGACAGAGTCAGTCATAGTGTCATTCTCTTCTCCAGCAATATCCATTTTCTATGTTTTTGTGATATATATATATATATATATATGGGGTTGGTCATGGGGCCTGAACTCTGAACCTGGGCACTGTCCCTCAGCAATTCAGCTCAAGGCTAGTGTTCAACCACTTGAGCCACAATGCCACTTCTGGTTTTTTCTGCTTATGTGGAACCCAGGGCCTCACACATGCAAGGCAAGCACTTTGCTACTGAGCCATCTTCCCAGCCCCCAGAATTCTTTTTACACATGCCTTTGTGGGTAGATGTAAAACTTTCTCCAGTATATGCCTAAAAAGTTGTTTGCCTGCTGGGATTTGTTTTTTGTCTCAGTTTGTAATCCTTATACAAATGCTTATTATCATAGAAGATTGTTGCTTTACCCACTCCCCTCTTGCTCCCAATTTTTTCAGCCCATCCCATAGTATTTCTTTATGGTCTATGAGCAAGGAGGAGCTGAGGTGATCTGATATGGATTAGACTGGAGGCAGAGGCAGAAGTGGGCAGTCCCTGGCTTCTTACTTCAGTTACATGCCAGAGACACTGAGGTCCATGCTGATAGAAGAAGGCCTACCACTAGGCAAGTGCTCTGTCTAAGGTAATGATCACTAGGAAACTGGATTTACCTATGAACATGGCCCCTGACCCTCTGGCACAGCAAGAAAGTTCTGGGATAGTCTTTGTGCTCAGGCCCAACTTAGGAATACCAGGAGTGCCACCCTAACATTGCCACACCACTTGGTGTCCTCTGCCCAGCTTTTTAAAACTCTGTGGGGCTGAAAGGCAGTCAGAGACTGATATGTCCTCATTCTTCAGCTCTCAGCCAGGCTTGCGGTTCAGTTTATACATCCCTAGGGTTTCCCCAGAACTTCATTTCTCAGAGTCAGGAATATGCCTCAGTTTACCCTATATTGCTTGGATAAAATTATCCATTCATCTTGGCATCTGCCATTTCCAGTGGAGGGTATGCTCATTAAGGAAGACATTCAAAGGGAGTTAGGGGTTGTCCTACTGTGTTCCCATCTTCAGAAACCTACAGAGCTGAGAGCACATTACAATCAAGCTGCACCTTGGCAATGATGCCCCTTAGAGATACCATCCATCCTTCTCTACAAATAACATGATATTCTTATGACTGGAGTAATATTAGGGCTACTCAGTCATATGAAAGGGTTGGAGTCAAGCTCTCCTCTACTCAGAGGTAGGCATGCCCAGGAGGCCATAAGAAGAGGACAAAACCATTAGATAAAATCCCCACATAGTTGATTTCCCAACTACCTATGGGATAAAGGTGGTTATAGTGATGAGGGAGGTTAAACTAGGAGAGTGTGATGGAACTCTTACATAACTCTCTCACAGTTACCCCTGCTGAGATGCTGGTCCAGAGAGGCTACCTTGCCTCTTCGGACATGATGGTCACTTAGGTATTTCCAGCTAAGCTAGGTGTCAGTGCTTATCTGTGCTTTGTAATTATTGACTGCACATAACTAGACAGGTCTTTTTGATTCTTAGTAATGTATAACGAGTCAAAGGACTCCTGTAGGATTATTTGAATTTATATATGTCCTACATCAACACTACGATGTGTATCCCATTGTCTTTATTTTACAATTTGGGAAACTGAAATTTTAAGACATTGCATTACAGAGCCAGGATTTGAACCAAGGATGCAACAATTACCCTTTACTGTTTTAAACCTAGTAGTTTTAAAGCAACAAATATATTTTCTTGCAGTTTCTATGAGACAGGCATACGTGAGTAGGTTGGTTGGGTTGTCATATAAGCTCTTTTTTTTTTTTGCCAGTCCTGGGGCTTAAACTCAAGGCCTGGGCACTGCCTCTGAGCTTCATTGTGTTCAAGGCTAGCATTCTACCACTTGAGCCACAGTACCACCTTCGGATTTTTATGAGTAGTTTACTGGAGATCAGAGTCTCATGGACTTTTCTGCCTAGGCTAGATTTGAACTACAATCCTCAGATCTCAGCCCCCTAAGTACCTAGGCTACAGTTAGCTGAAACCCTGTGTGGGATTGCAGCCTCTGTTTCAAGATGGTACAGTCCCATGTCTGTTGGCTAGGGTCCTCTGTTTCTCACTTGAGTACCCTCTAACATGACAGCTGACTTGCCTAGATAAGTGATTTGAGAGCAAAAGGAGATTGTGATGTCTCATGACCTAGTGCTGAAGAAGATATGCTATGGTTCTTCCATCAGAAGTAAGCCATCCTTGCCAGGCACTGGTGGCTCACATTTTTAATCCTAGCTACTCAGGAAGTAGAGATCTAAGGGTCCTGGTTCAAAGCCAGTCCAGGCTGAAAAGTCCCCATGAGACTCTAATCTCTAATTAACCACCAGAAAACTGGAAGAAATACTGTGTCTCAAAGTGGTAGAATGCTAGCCTTGAGCAAAAAGGAGCCCAGGGATCGCACCTAGGTCCTCAGTTCAAGCCCCATGACCAACAAAAGAAAAAAAAAAAGAAGTAAGTTATTATATCTAGCCGACAATTAAAAGGAAGGAATTTAAACACCTTTATGATGAAAGAAGTGTTGAAGAATTAGTATTCTGTTACCACCAGACAAACTGACTCTAGAGCTTATATTATTATATATTATATATTCAGAGATGTAGGCTATGACTCACAGGTGGGTATGGGAACTCTCTTCTAACCCCTCCCCCCATACTCTTCTCATTTCTATCCCATTCCACATCAAGAAATGTGCTTCCCCACACTGGGGTTGGCAAGGCCCTATGAAAACTGGGCACTTGTTCTCATCCTCTTCTACCTTTTAACATTTCCTTTTACTGCTCTGGGCTCTGAAATTAGTTATGTCCCAAATGACAGGGCCAATGGTACTGGTTTTGGGGCTTGAACTCAGTACCTGGGTGCTGTCTTTGCACTTTTGTGTTCAAGGCTAGCATTCTACCACTTGAGCCACAGTTCCACTTCCAGCATTTTTTTTGGTTGGTGGTTAATTGAAATAAGAATCTCAAGACAAAAAAAAAAAAAAAAAGAATCTCAAGGACTTTCCTTTCCAAGCTGGCTTTAAACTGTGATTCTCAGATCTTAGCCTCCTGAGTTGCTAGGATTACAGGCATGAGCCACCAATGCCCAACTGCTTGAGATTTTACCACTGATCACAGAAATATAAACTACTTCTGCATATGATATCAAGCCATTGTAAACCCCTTTTTATTTGTACCACAATGGTCTTGATGATCTGATTACACCTTATGCCTTTAGGCCAAAAACCGGTAGCAACACTTATTCTGAACTCTCTGGAATTATAAAAGCATAGAAGTGGGGCTGGGAAGGTAGCTCAGTGGTAGAGCACTTGCCTTGCATGCATGAGGCCCTGGGTTCGATTCCTCAGCACCATATAAGCAAAAGAGAAAAAGCCAGAAGTGGCGCTGTGGCTCAAGTGGTAGAGCGCTAGCCTTGAGCTGAAGAGCTGAGGGACAGCGCCCAGGCCCAGAGTTCAGGCCCCACGACTGGACCCCTCCCAAAAAAAAAAAAGCATAGAAGTGATCAGAGTGTAGAATTACCAGAATTACTGAATTACTGAAATATCTCCTAAATCCTTTGACCTTCCCTTCTACCTTTCATTCTGTCCACTGCTCCAAGAATTTTCTTTCTAAAACTTAAAAATAATCAAGTCACAATTTTCCCCCAAAGCTTTTAATAACTCTCCATTTCTACTGGATATTTTGCCTTTCAGCACCAGACCCCCACCTACCTCTCTCTTCTCATCAAGGACAAGGTAGACTATTTGCTATTCTGGAAAAGTGTTTTATTCTTTTAAGCTTCTACCCCCTTGTGTGTGCAGCTCTTTCTTCCCAGAGGAAGCATTCCCTGCTTTGAAGTCCAGTTCTAATGCTACCTTCTCGTGAAGGGCCTCATCACACTTACTTGGTCCTCAGCGTGTCCCCCAATAAATGATATGCACATAGAGGTGTCTGCCTGCATCCCAGTAGCTACCTGCCACCTTAACTGGGTTAACACTAATTAAAATCACAGGGCAGCTCACTCTAATTTTGGACACTTGATAAATGCTGAACACCAATGAGTCTTTCATTAACACACCTCGTAGCAATGTCTTTAAGTCACTGTTATGAAGACACTTAGCTAATTCCTTTGAGGTGGTTTATCTTTGATGCAGACATCTAAAAGGACTGAATTTCCTGGCGGTCTTGACTTTCTCTTGTCATGTTAGTGGTATAAAATGATTTGAAAAGAAGTCATTGCCATGGATGATGATGTTCACTTCACCTTTGTCAGGAAATATAGACGCGAGATGGCTTAGTTGTCATGGGCAAGGACAGGTCATTGTCCTTTTCCTCTCCTTTCATCTGAGTGGATCCAAAGGAAATCGTTTGCCTTGGATGTTGACCTGGTTCCATGACTGGATCAGGTCCCTCCTGGGTTTCAAAAGAGGAATATGTTGAGTTGTCAAGACATATTTTTAACAGTATGAAAGCATGGTTCTGTTGAATTCAACTGAAACCCAACAGGCCCCACATTCCTTACATCCTGGCAGACTGAGGATAACATATGAACAGAAGCACCCCAAATGTGCAGAACCCATGCCCAGTGCTCATTCTCCTTACCTGTCATCATCACCTTCCTTCTTGGACACATGCTCTGCCAGCACCTTGGATATGTTCTCTCCAGACTAAGCGGGAATGTGGGGTGCACTCAGAGTGCACACACACACACACACCACAAGACAAGCAATTGAGGCATTGGCAGCCCTAATCAGAGCCAGCCAAGCAAACCTGAGGGCCGCTTAGGGTTATGTTAACAGATGGTGGTGAGCAGGCAGAACACCTCACCTCCCATTTGGCTCCTGTCACCAGACCGAGAAAACTAATCTTCCCCTGTGAAAGGGTAGCGCAATCGCTTTGTTCAGAGGAAATTGCAGACTGAGATGTGAGAGGAGTTTGGACAAGTGCCTAATCTCCGAGTGTTTTGCTGGAGGATAGGCAATTTAGACTTCTCAAGACAGCAAAGGGTTAATCTGTTGCAGTACTCTGAGATGAAGGTCAGAGCTCACAGTGCCTGTGGGCATCAGGTCTGTCCAACAGCTCACAAACCTTGGAACACATTCTGTCTGTATGATCCCAGGATTGTGTAGTGCAGAGGGCTGACCTGGATTCCAGGCTTTTCTACTATCTATAACTATTAATAGCTAATCACAAAACTTCTCGGTTATTATGAAAAGTTGAAGCCCGTTCGGAAAGAGGAATAAGCCAGTCAGGAAAGCAGAGGCCACAGAGAGTATTTCAAACACACAAGGTTTGATGTAGGAAATTTCTGACACTGAAAAAACTGAAGGATTGCCAATTCAAAGATTAGAAGCTAAAAGCAGCTTGAGAGTTAAAGCAGAGGAAGTGATGTTGCCGAAAGCTTGGAGCATGATGAAGGGCTGCTGACTGGCAGATTTAACTCCATGGCTAGCCATCAACAGGCTTGACCCTTTGGTCACTTTTCTGATAATGTTTGATAGTATGAACAAGAATAAGATAATGGGACAGAGAGTCGTAGGAGCTGGGCTATGATTATGGCCAAGGCTGGAGAGGCTTGGTGAATTTGACTTATGGTTAATGGTAAACTCAAGAAGGGCAAAAACAGAATGGGATGAGAATGACAACTGCAACCACTTGGCTGTGTTGGTTTTCTATTGCTGCAAAACAAATGGCCACACATTTAGCAGCATTAAAGAGTGTGTAATTATTATCTCAGTTTCTGTAGATCAAGAGTCTGGACATAGCTTAATCTGGTGCTCTGGCTTCCTGAGCCTCTCGGTGAGAGTGTGGTTGTGAAATGTGCACCATATGAGTGCTTGATCTCTGATGATGCAGCAGAGGTGGGCTTTTGAGCAAAGCTTAGCCAAGGACTCTCATCTCCATTGATGAGTTTATAACTTGATGGGCCATTGGAATGTGATGGAAACTTAGGAGGTCGGACCCAGTTGAGGGAATGAGTCCTAAGGAACATACTATTGGGGACTGTATTCCCTCTCTCTCTCTCTCTCTCTCTCTCTTTCTGTCTCTCTGTATCTCTCTCTCTCTGTCTCTCTCTCTCTTCCCCCCCTCTGTCTTTCTACCTCCCCTTTGGTCTCCTTTCCTCCCCTCTCTGCTTCCTGGCCTCCTTGAAGTGAGCATATTTGCTCAACACCATGATATTTTTCCCCATGATGGCTCAGAACTGATGGGGTCACGAGACAATAGGCTGAAACCTCTGAAGTCAAAATAACCTTTTTTGAATTTAATTTTCTCAAGTGTTTTGGCACCATTAGGGAATTGACATTTTTTGTGCTGATCCTGGGCCTTGAATCTAGGACCTGGATGCTATCTCATGCCTAACACTCTACTTCTTTTTTTTTATTGTAAAAATGTTGTACAGAGGGGTTACAGTTACATGAGTAGGATAATGAGTACATTTCACAAGTATTGTTACCTCCTCCTTTATTTCCCCCCTACCATCACTTTACTCCCCACCTCCCCAACTCCTCCTGCCCCTCACCCTGACATTGTAAAGTTGGTTTTCAATATAGTGTCCTGTATATCTTGTCATCACTATGGGTCAGCCTGCATCTTCATTTAAGCATTCTGCAATATCCCTTCCCCTCCCCAAATTAAAATTTTATATATACAAGGTGCAGAGCACCAGCATCAAATCCAGTGAAAACAGGGCTTATACCATGGGGGAAGAACATACAATAGAAACAAAAGAATTACATAGTGTATTGTAAGTACATTAAAAACATTAGAAAACAAGGGGAAAAAAAACCTCTTATGTCCCTGTCTTGGGGTACATTTTGCTTAACATTATCTCATATGATCATAAGTACATAGTCTTTGACCTACTCTGCTTATCCTAGACATGTACTAGTCACTGCAAACAAGGGAAACCATGGGACCTATGTTTCTTTGGGTCTGGCTTACTTCACTTAATATAATTTTT